GAAATGATCAGCAGACAGACTTCAGAAAAACCTGGAAAAACTTGTATGGTGTGATGCTGAGTGAAGTGAGCAGAACCAGGAGAACGTTGTACACAGTAACGGCCACACTGTGTGATTACTAACATTGATAGACTTAACCTTGCTTAGCAATACAAGGATCTAAGACATCTCCAAAGGCCTCATGATGGAAAATGTTATCTACATCTAAAGAAAGAACCATGGAGTTTGAATGTAGATCGAAGGACACTATTTGATATTTTTTTCTTCTGTTGTGTTTTGTTTCTTCTTTCTGGTGGTTCCTCCTATTGATTCTAATTCTTACAACATCACTAATGTGAAAATATGTTTAATAGCAATATATATGTATAGCCTATATCAGACTGCATGCCGTCTTGGGGAGCAAAGTGGGGAAGGAGGGGGAGAAAAATTTAAAACTCAAAAGCTTATGGAAGTGATTGTTGATAAAGCAAAATAAATCAATAAAAAAGCAAAAAAAAATAGATAAATAAAAAACCATAATCCTAAAAAATTAAAAAAAAAAAAAGGAACAGACATGGAAGCCAGACACCTCAGCCATCTGGATATGTTGGACAAGTGAAAGCAAACAGCTGAGGATGGGAACCTGAAGGGCTGGAGAGACGAGGATGAAGATGAGGATGATAACGGCATCCCTGACAGAAAATGGGCGAGGTTCATGAGTGGTAAAGAGAATGGAATGACATCCGTGGGACAACCCCCAACCCTTCCACGGGCTGGAGACTGGGTGAGGGCACTAGGACGTGTCTTGTTCCCTGGTTATTGGCTCCAAGAACTCCAGGCAACAGCTGCCATAAACACAGGGGTGTTCTGAGGGGCTCCTGGAGGTAGGGACAAGGGATGTGGGTCATCAAGTGGTACCCGTGGCAGCTTGTGCGGTGATCAAGGTGAGATTCTAAGACCCTGTTGTACAGCAGAGGCTGGGAGTTTGCCAAAGGGGTGGAGGGAGCACAGTAGGGGAGCATTAGGAAATAATGGGTGAAAGGACAGGGGTGGCCGTGCTGAGGAAGGGCTAGAGGGAAGCCAGGAACCAGGCCATCTCCTAGCTCTGGGTATGGCTGCACAAATACCCCCTGGAGTTCAGAGTCATGCTCCAGCCCTGACTTTGGGGATCATTTCTCTAGAAATTCTCACTTACTTTGACAGAAATATATATTGCTACATCAAAGCTAATCAAAATATTCTTATACTTTATTTGATATCTATAAGAAAACTCAGGCCACCTATCCCCTCCAAAAGCTCATGCGAATATGCAAATCCTACAAAAATCACCCAAACTGTCCAAAATAATTTCAGTCTTTTCCTAAAGTCAGCTGTTAAGCGTTAATCCCGATAAAGCACCCATTACACCTTGGGGAAAAAACCAAGTAAGGCTCAGCCCTGGTCAAGAAAGGGCCTATTCCTGTCAAACAAGTGAAGGGAGGAATAGGCAGCCAGAGGGTGCCGCTGGGATGCAGATGCCATCGAGATCGATTCTCCCAGTGGCAGGATCCAGTAAAGCAAGCCTCCTTTCAGTCACTCTCCAACAGCTCTGCACTTCTGTCTTTAACCGAATTTTAGACTCTTTACAACTCATTTTCTATTTGATGGATCAATCATCTTCAAAGATAAATTTCTTTCTCATTCTTAGATATCTCCTGGGAATGACTCAGAAGTCACACTCCAGGAGAAATGAAAGTTACACTGGTGCTGCAGAATCTATCCCAGAGGTAGGAAAACCTTTGCCAGGCGCACCTCACTTACACTCTGTGGGTGGCCCTAGGGATAGGAAGGAGCTTGATGGGCCTTTCTCCATCCTCCCCTCTCTCCCCGCCTCATCCCCCCCAATACCCCTTTACCCACAGTGGAGAACTACTGCAGGCAACTGACACCACAGAACAGAGCTCGGTCGGGGTCAGGGCAACGTTCAGAGGATTCATGGAAGATTAATGTAGGAAGAAATGCCACGGGGTGGGGAGGAAGCAGAGGACTGGGTGCAAACGATCTAGAGTCATTCCTTTCACCTCGGGGTCAGCGCTTCTCAATGGCCACAGAGACAGCGAAAGACAACCAACCCTGCAAATGAATACCCCCCTGCCCCCCAATACTGCTCATCTCTGGGGCTTCCAGATATCACCAGAAATGGTTTTGCTCACGGGCTACAGGCTACTCATTTTTATTAAGTCCGGTTTTGTATTAAATGTTCTGTGTGTGGCTTCTCCATTTTCTTAGCACTCTCTGACTCACTGATATCGTAACCAAAGACACACCCCCGGGACCATAGGCTTTCAATCTTGTTTTCCATTCCCGGGTAAGCAGGTTATCTCTCAGATGGCAAAGCACCTCTTCTGTTTCAGAAGCAGGCTCAATTTTATTTTCCAGTTTATCAGTCTCCTCTGTCCTATCAAGCTCATCTATTTTTAACTTTTCCACACTGGTATTTAAAGAGGTCAAAGACAAAGGAGAAAAGATGGAGGAAAGATTCAGCGCTCGCTCCCCACAGACACTGGGTGAGCCTTTCCACTAAACATCCCAGACTTTTCTCTGTTACTCAAGGATGAGCCTTTAGAACATCCTGTCACTGTCATTGGACTTTTAATGTTGGTGACTCTAACCAGTACTCACCCCAAACCTCACTTTCATACCAACAAACTATGATGGCAGAAAATCACGACACTGATAACGTGACTTTAATTAAAACCGAGGTAAACTACACAACTGAAACAGTACCCACTGTTCCTAGGATTATTTCACATTCTATTCTCCCCATCTAAAATTATAAAATGAAAAATAAGTTTTATAAAATATGTCACCTTAAACAAAACGGCCGAAAATGTGGAAGAGGAATGTCATTAAGAAGTCTCCCACCTCTCCCAAGGCTCCATCAGGGTAGAGATCTAAACCTAGACCCATGTATTCATTAATCAAATGGAAGTGTGTTGATGTTCAGTCATTCTTCCATCATGTCTGACTCTTCGTGGCCCCGTTTGGGGTTTTCTTGGCAAAGATAATGAGGTAGTTTGACATTTCCTCTTCCAGTGGATTAAGGCAGACAGAGGTTAAGTGACTTGCCCAGGTCAAACAGCTATGAAGTGTCTGGATTTGAATTCAGGTGTTCCTGATTCTAGGCCCAGCACTCTATCTACCAAACCACCCAGCTGCCTAAATACAAGTATACACAGTACACAAACTGTGTACAAAATCCTAGGTGTGTCTTGGTCACTCCGACCCATCAGAAGCACAGAAAGATATGACCATGACAAGAGAGCCAAGTCTCTCCCTCCCTTCCTCCCTCCCTCCCTTTCCCTCCTGAAGCTAGACGAAGGAATGATGATAGGGAACAAGACAAAGACTGGCCTTGAAGAGGAAAAGAGAGTGCTAACCACAGAATGCGAGAAGAGCGCGAAATACCTCAGTTTCCCTAAACAGAAAAGAACCTGCAAACTGTAGGAAATGAAGCTTGACCTCGCTGCTGGCAAACGCTAGAGCACATTTGAACAGGGATGATCAGTGGCCATGGAGAAGAGCACTGATTGATCACTAAGCACATGGCTTCATTAATAACAGGTGGCGTCAGGCTACACATTTCCTCTGTCTGAAAGGGTAATCTGAGTAGTAGACCAAGGAAATACCGTTGGAATGGTCTATGATAAAATTTTTCAAACTTTTGTGGAAAACATGGTAAGACGAAGGCACGATGACGCCCAAGTCAGCAGATTCACAATCTGAGGAACGACAGGTCAAAAAGAAGCCCTTCGTGTGCCTAAGGATCTAGAAGGACACATGTTCCGTGCTCCCCACCCCCACCCCCTTGTGCCTCTCCTAGAGTGACCCACGGTCCTCTGCTTGGCTCCAGGCCATTTATCACATCCAGTCAGACATAAAAAAGCAGGCTTCTTCACTTAACACAGGACACGAGGCTGCAGGGGACATTTCACACACACCAGAAAACAGTCAAGAGCTAAACAAGATCAGGACAGGATGAAGTGCCCAGTCAAAGCTAAAAGGGGAAAACTGAGCAAAGTCAGGCAGAGACACTGGACTGCATCGAAGGAGATGAAACTTAGGTGGGACACACACGATATCTCGTACTTGAGATCGCAAGTAAATTTGCTTAATCAGGACAAAAGGGGGGAGACAGAGTGACGCTGCAGCGTCTCGAAAAGTCTCTGCTAACATTCCACCTTCTCCAAGAAGCTCTTCCCAGACCCCGGTCATGTAAGCGCCTTCCCTGAGATGACCCCCCCCACACACACCCCCATCTAAGCTGTTCAAAGGTGTCTGCCCGTCATCCCCATCACAACGTGAGCTCCATGACAGCAGGGGCCGTCCTTTTCGAAGCCTCTTTGTATCCCCAGCATTCAGCTGCTTCTCGCACACAAGAAGGCACTTAGTAAGTGCCCACTGACTTGTGTTCACTAAGATGGTCTATGGCCTGTAGGCTGAGCTGACTGAGCAGTAACTGAAGGGTTTGGGGGGCAGCACACAGAGAGGCCGTCTCAGGAAAACCACCCTGATTATCTGAACGATCCCAGCATGGAAGAGGCTGCCCCGAGAACCAGAGAGTTTCAGGAACAGGCCAGATGCTGGCTTCCTGGGTGCACTGGGACAGGGGGAGTCTTCTGTGGGTCTGGGTCAGGTGGGAGGCTCCCCAAGGTCATTCCCAATACCTAGATTCCCTGGTTCTACCACATGAAGCCCAAAGAGCCATGCTCCATAATCGTGGAGGACTTCTGTTTTGAGGTGACTACTTCACTGAGATGGTTTTTATTTTGAAGATCTGCTGCAGACAGAGGTCAGAATTTACAGAAAATACAATTTCAGTGTGTGGTTCATTAAAGAGTCTGTGCCAGTCACTCCTTCTCAGGAGGAGTTAAGAAAACGGATGACGCATCAAACAGCGCAATCAACAAATAAATTCATCACAACTAGTATTGCCTCTGAAAGAAGTCTGTGGAACAGAAAAACGTTGACAAATAACTCACTTTTTCTGTAGTTTTCGGTTCTTTTCGGCCTGGCCTCCCAATTTGTTAATTCCTAAGGCATCTTGAGAGGAGCTCTCCAGGTCTGTCACACCAGCTACAAAGGAAAAACATCCAAGAGTTGACCACCATAAAACAGCATGGCAAAGACATCGACAAGAAGTCGCATCAGCCCCAAAAAGATCAGCACCCGCTACCAGGCGCACACACCAGGCTTTGCAGCTGGCTGGAGGCGAACCATCAGCGCTACAGAAGGTGAATGACGGACAGCAATCTAGAAATGTGCCATGGCACCGACTGGACGACGAGAGCATAAACGTCCTGTTCAGGAGCCAGACGCCTCTTTCTAGCCAGGAGGTGACCACGGGCACCCCGGCAGCTATTCCTGGCCTGTGCGCACTGGGGGAGGGGCAGAAGAGGAGTTTCCTCATTCAAGTTGTATACTGGGCCCACGGAAGCTGCCAGGCCAGTGTTCCAGGGAGGAGGCGGAGGGCAGGAGAGGCAGGAGGACACCTACATTAGGGGAGCACCACCAGAGAGAGGCACTAAGTTTTAGGATACTGGTGATTCACTTGATCTCTCCAGGCAATTCACTCACAATTGAGTTTTGGAGACAGACTAGTGGCTTACAACACGCTAATGAGACCCGGTCCTTCTGCCCCAGCACCATAGTCTGCCCCATCTCCATCAGGCTCACACATGCCTCTAGAACAGGTTAACTGCCTCTGGGGCATGGATCCCTTGGCCAGGCAGTCTGGCAAAGTCTAGGGATCCCTCCTCAACACGTTTCAAGTCGTATAAAATAAAAACTTAGAATTACAAAGAAAATCAATTATTTGGAGTAGCTATGTGGTTTTATGGACTTTAGCCAGGGAAAAGCAATAAGGAAAATGGGGCTGGCCCCATGGCACTAGGTGTTTGGCAAACACTCCCAAGGGCAGATCTGACCAGGGATCAGGAGCAAACACCCTGACAGCAAGGACACGCCAGGACATTTTTGGCTTCCAACTAAGTGACCTCACTCCCCCACTGTTCTCTAGGGCAAGAAGCTTCCAGCTTGGAAACTACTTCAAACATTAGTTATGTCAAAATCAAATACTAGAGTTTAAACATCATTCTCTAAGCAGTGTGTATTTTTTTAGTAAATAAAAACCAACTACTCTGGAAAGAATTTTTCTCACCCACACACTCCTTCACAATAACTGACTAGATACAAGGAGCCTTGACTGATTTCACTGAAGAATGAAGCTACTATGAGTGCACTCTCCTAATGATGTAAATGTAGGTAGTTTAAGCACACAGTCCATCCAGGGATGACCTGAAAAGCTCACAGGCTCCTAGGGCCTGCAGAAGAAATTGCACAGTTGAGAGAGACCTCAGAAACCTTAGCTAGTGAGATTAATTTTGATTTTTCACAACATTCCAAAACATATTAAAGAGATTCCTAGTTTTAGATAAGACAGAAGCTAGATGACAGTATGGTGAGGTAGGTTCAGAAACAGTTCAATAACCAGACCCAAGATTAGTAATCAATGAGGGGATGTCCCTCTGGAAGGTCACTATAGCAGAGGGTAGCGAGGATCTATCTGGGCTTAGCAAATATGCAGATGAGCCAAATCGGGCAGAAACATCTAACATGTTAGCCGGAGTCAGCATCCAAAGAAGATCTCAGTAGGCTTGGAATAGACAAAATACAAGAAAAATGGATTCCAAAAGCCAATTTCCACTGTACAGTACAAGGGAGGCATGGCCAGGCAGCAGCTCCTCTGAAAAGGATCTGGGGGTTCTAATGGGCTGAAATCTCCATGTGTGGGATGAGTGTCACGTGGCACAGAGGCACCCAGGACAGGAGGCTGTCCAGCGGTTCTCTGCTCAAGTCAGACCCCGGCACGGCACCTGAGGAAGGGCACCGAACGTCTAGAGAAAGAGACCCAGTTTGGAGGACGGGTCTCATGAGCACACTTGATGCTATCACTGAAAGGAATGGGGAAGGGCAGGGAGCCTGGAGAAAGGAAGACTTAGGATGGACTTGACAGCTGATTTCCAACATTCAAAGTGAATGATCTGAACTCTTGTGCAAGAGTGAGTGACTAGATGCCTTCTGTCAAACTCAGGAGAGTGTTCAGGGCTGCGGGCACTGGATGGAAATCACCAGAAAGCAGGAGGTGGCTCGAGAAGCCTTCCCAAAGCAAGTGGGGGGGTAGCGGGGTCTCTTCCCCACTAACGGTCTTCAAGTCAAGGTTCCACAATCACACGCTGGGATGGCTCTAGAGGGGGCTTTTATACAAGAACATGTTGTATAACAAAACTTCTGAGAGTCCTTCCAACTCAAGACTCACTGAGCTTTTGACTGTCCAGAAGTGAATCAGACCACAACCAGAGCTGGCCTTCTGACCGCACATTATGGGTCATTATTACTAAGTTACTTAGCAATTGATGTTAGAAATTAAGTTCAAAATAAATTGTGTACTTGAATTACTTTTAAAAATCCAAGCACTCTCCAAAATGGTTGGATCATTTCACAACTCCACCAACAATGCATCAGTATTCCAATTTTCCCACATCTTCTCCAACACTTAACATTTTCCTGTTCTGTCATATTAGCCAGTCTGATAGGTGCGATGTGGTACTTCAGAGCTGTTTTGATTTACATTTCTCTAATCAATAGTGATTTACAGCATTTTTTCATATGACTATAAATGGCTTTAATTTCTTCATCCGAGAACTGCCTGTTTTATCCTTTGACCATTTATCAATGACTTGTATTCTTATAAATTTGACTTAGTTCTCTATATATTTTTAGGGTTGTCTCTGATAAAGAGGGAGGGGGAGAAAAATTTAAAACTCAAAAGCTTACGAAAGCGATTGTTCAAAAATCAAAATAAATTAATAAAATAAAATGAAATAAATAATTTTTTTTTTTTAAAAATCCAAGCCCTCTCATTTGAAGAAATTAAAATTAACCGAGGTAAGCTGCTTTTCCTCCCCAATCCAAAGGCTTACATCAGCTACTGGAAAATAACCAACCTTGCCCCAGGGACTCTTTGCCAGTGTGTCCAGGTCGGCCCTTTTCTTTCTTCCCAAACAAGCGGCCAATAGAGGACTTGATTCCCTTCTTTTTGGGTGCTTTATGAAGGGAATCTTGGCTGCTGTTACTGCTGCTAGGGTTGCTGACTTGACCATCCTGTGAACCTGTGGAACTTGAAATAAACAATATTTGTAGTCCTTAAAATATGTATCATGAAATTAAAAGATTAAATACGTAACCTTTATTTTTCACATTTTTAAACAAAAATGCCAACCCCATTACATAAAACAAATGTGGTATTTATTTCCAATGCCAGCAAGCAAAACCTAGGAAATGCAAAATGTGAGCAGGGAAAGGAGCTCCCAAACTTTTAGACGCACTCCCAGCTCTCTTTGAAAAGGTAGCGAGCGCATTAAGTATGCTGTAGCGGCTGAGATAAGAACGCTCCCACAGCAGCAGCGCTACAGACATGCGCTGCTGTAGGTGATTTACAGCCCTGTGCTGATCAGATGCCAGGCGACCACCGGCATTCACGTACTGCTTTAAGCTTTATCTCACTTGATCCTCAAAATAATCCTGGGAAGTATTTGTTATTATCACCATTGTGCAGTTAAGAAAATTGAGGCAGAGGTTAAGTGACTTGACCAGAGTCACACAGCTAGTGTCAGGCCAGATTTGAACTCAGGTCTTTGTGACTCCAAGCTTAGCACTCTATTCACTAACTGCACCACAAAACTGTCTTTTAATAAGAGGTCTGTAAAACCCACAGGATTTGAAGGTAAGTAGAATTTATCGTTATTTTTGGAATGAGAAGACTGGTCATTAATTACTGCCTCCAGAACAAAACTAATGGTTTCGGTACACAAGAACCTAGAAGTCTGATTTCATGTCAACAACAATTTTTCCAAAAACAAAACAAAACAAACATGCTCTAAAACTCTTTGTTGACTTCATACCTTTGAAAGTTTGAGACGTACATAATAATTTGCAAACAGCATTACTGACCAGCTCCTCACACGTCAAAGGCTGACTTATCACAGCACAAAACAAAACCTTTCAAAAATTGCTCAAGATAACACCTTGTACGAATAAGATCTGGGGCCCTTAGAACTGAACATCCGCTTCAACAAGCCAAACCAAGTTACAGGGAAAGCTCCCCCATGGGGCACAAGGCGGGCAGCTGGCCAGGATCAGAGGTGGCTTCCCCTAAGCTGCCTTTTCCTCATGTCTAGAGGCAAGGGCAGGGGCAGCCCACTCTGAGAAGACATGAGTTCAGGAACCACAGAGAGGCCATTATGAACAACAGCTTGATTTATTCTTAGTCTGTTGGCAGTTTTTAAGGAAATGGGTGTTAAGAACCATAGGAAAATAGTAAAGGCTACGTGAAAATAATTTGTTAAATCAACACTTGTGATCATAGAAGGGTCCATCTACTTAGCAAACCTTCTAAGGAGGGTGTAAAACAAGCATTCTTTTCAGCTGTGTCACATATAATAAAAAAAGGCAAACAGATTTACTGTTGTAAAATCCTGAGTCAGCGGGAGGTAATCTGGGCAGGTGGGGGGGCTTTGTGCCTGCCAGCTGAGGCACGGAGGCACGCACACACTGACCATGGTCCCCCAGTAAAAGCCAGGCCACTTACTTCCTAATGTCCCTGATGTCTTCATGGCTCACGGTGTGCAAAGCCCCTTTGTGGACTCTGTCTAAACGAAGGGACCTTGGGGAAGAAGGGGGGGATGTTTCACATCTTATGGTTGTCTTGTCATCTCGTACCTCTTCTCTCGAAGCTGGCAACTAGGAGAGATTAAAAAAAAAAACTATCAAAGAGCTATTGTGAGAGGTTATTTATATATCTTCAATTCTGAATCTAAAACCTGAAGCCCTCCCCCCATTATGCTATTTGCTCTGAGCAGAGTCAAACCCTGGCTACAGCTAATTCCAATTCAGTGAAAACGGCTATGGCAGGAGAAGCAGCGGAACCAAGGGGAAAGACCCCTGGACGGGGAGTCACTGCCCCCTGCCAGCTCTGGGACGACCTTGGACAGGGCCTCGGAGACGTCAGCTTGTAGAATAACAATAAGCGGGGATGTTTATTCGGGGTTGTCATTTTCAGGCTTCTCCTCTGGTCCTGGGTATGACTGTCTACATCACACAGATGAGGAAGCTGCTCCGTGAGGTAAGGGCTGTGCCAAGGGAAATCACAACCTGGGACTTCTGTCCCTTCCATTAACTGTCCTGCACCACTGGGTGCTCAACATTCCCCAAGTGGCCTGCAAGCTCAAGGATTCTCCGATCCCTAGGAAAGGGTCATGAATGGCTTCCTGAGATTTAAATGATGCTTAGACATAAGCCACAGCCTTTTCTACATGCCATAACTCAAAGATTAGAAGGAACAGACAAGAAGTTCACGCACTTTGCCATAGCTAGTAATTTTTCAAATGAGTTGGGAAAGGGGTGAGATGGGTGGGTGGGTCTGTGGTAAATTAGCAGTTTTTCTAGGAAAATGTGATATTACCAAATAACTTTGATCAATGATTCAGTTGGACTTTGTCTTTAGCAAACCAATGAAATCTATTAAAGCAGATAATACTAAAATAAATGATATAACATGTAAATTTAAGCATTTTGAAATGCTTTTAAAAATACTTTTATTCAACCTGGCATAGATCTGGCATAGACCAGTTTCGCCATTGAATTGGTAGTACTTCCTGATTGAGGGGGCAGGGGGCCAAGGGCTGCAGGGGGGGAAGAAACTCCTTTAGGCTGCTAGCAATCCATTAAGCTATATGAACATTCTTTGTTTATGCATGCACAAGGAAATATGAACACAGGTATATATGAAGACCAGGTCAGATTGCTTCCAATGAGCAGCCACGGAAAACGCCCCTATCAAACTGACTTTCTAATGTGCCCAGCACATAGTAAGCACTTAGGTGCTTTTTGAATTATCAGCGTCACCACCTAAAACTGACGAACAGCACAATGACTGAGTCTAATTTGTTGGGGTTTAGCGCAAGTAGGGTAAAGCTCTTTGAAGCTACAACTAAAAAAAAATCCTAGGCGTTAAAGGCTCTGGGGCTAATCTTTAATTCTGTTCTGATTTCTTTACTAATTACTCATATCATCTCAATAGGGTGAAACCAATTAATGAATTTTAACAGACATAAATGCAAAAATCGTTTACTTAAAAAACAATTCTAGACATAGAAGTGAAAAGAACCCAGTGTAATATGGGTTCCCATCAATCTATCATGCATCTATTCCAAGTGCCTGGGAAGGTAAATGAGTCACCTTGTGGCACCGCAGTTAACGTCATCTTTGGCTGCCTCCGTTCACACCTGGGGCGCTACTTTGCAGGAGGGATACAACCAAGTACGTACCATGAGTGGCTTCTGAAATGGGAGACTGTGAAATTTTCCCTGGAGAAGAGGGCACTACATGAGCTGGGAGAGGGGTAGTGGCCATTAAGCAGAAAGAACCAAAGACCATCTTTGCAAATGTCCAACTTTGAGAGGTGGTCCCGGGAAAGAAGGGCCAGAACAGGGCCAGTGAGAGCACAAGTCCCAGGGACACAGCTCAGACCCAGCAAGAGTTACCTATGTGGAACAGGTTAGAACTGCTCCAAAATGTCCAGGCTCCTGCTCCTCAAAGCAGGAAGCTGCCCACTGTCACTAGGACCAAGGAGGGCTGGACAAACCATCCCTCTGGAATGCTTTAAAAAAGAATTTCTCAACCCGGACTCTGTGGATAGATTTCAAGAGGTCCATGAATGTGTGCACCCAAGCCCATGCATGCTTGTGCGCAAGCGCACACACACGCGCACACACACACACACACACCCAGGATACCATTAACTATATTACCACTGTTATTGGTAACAGATACCAACATCAGGTACCATGCAAAGTGTGTGTATGTGTATATGTGTATATATCTACACACATCCATTTCCCCTAAACGAAATCTAGCATATGTTTCATTATTTAAAAATGTTATTCTGGGAAATCCAGAGGCTAAACCAGCCCGCCAAAGGGGTCCAAGACACAAAAAAGGTAAAGATCCCTTGTTATAAAGGGAATCACAGAACTGGTGGGCTGTTGGATTAAATGACTCTTAAAATTATACGGCTTAAAAGTCAACAACTAAGACTTCCATTTAATATTGTATAAAAGACGGCAGCCTACTTTAAGCAAATCTCTAGAGCACCTAAGGGGAGAGGGGATGGAGCAAGGAGAGGGGAGATTATTCTGCACTGTCAGATCTCCAAAGGAAAAGAAGTTAAAGTTTATTTCTGACACATTAAAATTATCCTAGTGGTGCAAGACTCAGTATCATCGTGGCAATGACCTGTCCTACCCAGAGCTCAACCCTGAAGATCAATGGGGTACTGTGCAACACCAGAGGTTTTCAACAGTTTACAGAAAAGCACAAAGTCAGATGAAGTTGCTAAATCATTTACCTTTCTACGATGTTTCCTTAAATCACTAGGCTGAAAGATGCATGCAAAGAAAAGAAATTCAGAGAGACCAGTTTTATTGTAAACTCTGCAGTTGAAAATAAAAGCATCAGGCAGGTGAACACATTAAGGAGGAATGGGGGAAGGAGGGAGAGGAAGAAGAAAAAGCCATTTGTCAAGGACCACACAGTTTCAGGTAATATATTATATAACTCCTAAATGTTAGCAATGACCAAAGCTCAGCACAGCACAGTAATGCTCTGAAACAACCTTCGATTCCACTCCAATTACAAATCTGAACACTGGTCAGTGTTCCGTTTACTTTTACTAATGGAATCAAATTTATGGAATCAAAATTAATAAAATCAAAAAGATTCCAGTAAAACAAAGGAATTCTCTGACAGTTCTGAGAACTTGCTGTAATGGAACCCAGGGCCCAGAAAGTCTCCCGCTTTAACACGACCCACCTGCTTCCCTGCAAAAACTCATTCCAATACCAAATTCTCATCATCTATTAACACTGGGTAGCCACAAGCATCCTCGAAGGGTGGAGCACTTTTGGCTGATCATCCAGTGGTTCTTAATACATAACTGTACAATCCAGTCCACTTTCACATTTCAGCAGAAGGCAGTTTAACAGATTTGCTGAAAGAAAAGTGTCTCTGTGGGTCCAAAAGAGCAAGACCTGCAAAAGAAGCTGGTGCGTGGATCCCTTTTTACCTGCTGCATTTCATAAAACCGTACAGGGAAGAAAATGAGGAAGGAAGATACTTTGGTCATGTTATGTAAGACAGAATGAGAACGTAACAAGAAATAAATCTGAATATTCACCGTTGTCGAAGCTGACCAAAACAATGAAAAGAAAGACCAACAGGGGAAAAAACATTCACTCACATACTCAGAGTCTAATACAGACACACAATTTCACCCCCAAAATATCTATCGTGCTTTACCTGAGAGTGCTGTGAAGCCTCATTATAGGATGGGGTGGAACTGGGAGGGGAGGTAGATGAATAAGTTACAGACTGATGGGGAACTGAGGTCTGGATTAAAAATGAATCTGGAGATGGCTAAAATAATAAAACAAAAAGGATAATACACAAAATCAAAACCAATCATTGCAGTAAGTACAGAGTCTGTTAGCCAGCACACTGAGTTTCACCCAATCTGACCGTACAGATGTTCTGGCTGGCATCAGTAATGAGCCAGAACCCCCAAAGAGGACAGGGCAACAACCCTGAGCTTCCACCAGTAACGGGGAGGGCAAAGGCAGGGCCGGATTCAGTCACCAAAGGGCACCACTGACAGCCCTGGCCCCGATGTCAATAGAGCAAGGCACACCCAATTCAGTAACACAGAGAAAACGTTATGCTGGCTAACAACATGTGGAAAAAACAAGATGAACTAACTAGTAATAAAACTGTTAGAAGTCAAAAGAATGGAATGAAAGGAAGGGCAGAAGATGGTGACAGAGGGCTAACAGGAGTGGTGACCCCACATTCAACAGTAAAACAAGAACCCTGATGAGACATTTGGTGGTATCTGTCACCAGTTTTAGGAATCCAGCATCTTAGCACTGTGGAAATCAGAGCAGCACTAGGCACACATCTAAAAGCTGGGGGGGTTAACCCTTCCCTCATCGTGCTTTCTCCAAGGCAGGCAGCATGTCGGAGTGGCTAGACAGCTCCTGGGAGGCAGGAAGGCCTGGATTCGAGGTGCTCCTCAGACGCCTGCTGCTGTCCAGGACCTTCCACGGGCCCTGAGCAGCACCCAGCAGGACATGGCCCTCCCTCTGCCTGGGGGCTCAGAGCTCCTGACACCAAGGCAGTCACGGCTCCTTGGGAATCGGCAAGCACCGCTGCTGCTTTCTGAAAGCAGCTTGGCACATACATGAGGGTCAGCAGTCTACACGTGGAATTCAGTGAGTGTCAAAGAGATGCGTTAGCCGTTGCAGAACTGCTTGAAATCTCTTCAGAAGAACTCTCTCCCGTCACTGTCTACACTTTCTGCATCCCTCATCTTCATTAATCTATCTCTTGACCACATTGCAAAGTTGGCTGGGACACAATGCAAATCCTGACGTGGTGCATTTACGATATCTGCACTTTCTGTAGTAGCGCTGCCCATGAAACAGGCCGTGCCCCCTCTGACCTTGCATAGCATCAAAGAAAAAGAACGTTGCATAAGATACTTCAGCGGTTTGCAGACTGACTAAACCAAATACAAAATCAGTTTCAGTTCACCCAGTTTTTTGGTGTGCTTGCTGGCAAAGACAATTCTACACAAGTAACAAGGGTGTGAGGGGACAGGGAACCCCAGAAGCTCTTCAGGGACCAGACAGAGAAATGTACAAAGAATGGGGAGAGAAAAGGGCAAAGACTTACCAGAGTCATGATCCCCAGCCTGTCCACCTCCCGGGCAGGGCTGTGGGGGAGTCGCCGTGGGGTGGAGCGGCCACTCCCTGGAGGAGAGGACCCCGAGAGGCAGGAGCCCGGATGTGGGGGAAGGGAGCTCAGGGACCGGAACCGCCCAAGGTTGTCCAGACTCCCGCTACCCACACGGCTCTCAATTTCCTCTGCCCGCTGCTCTGTGTTTTCTTTCTCTTCTTGGATCAGTCTAAAACAAAAGGGCTCGTTAGCACTTTGGGGCTTAATGGGGTCTGATCTGGAGAGAAAGCACCCTTACCCTCAAGCTGTCCATACAGACGCTGCATATACTGCCACGGTGTGTTTTGCTAGAACAGAGGGCAGCCCCTGCTTCATTGTCTTGGGAATAGTTAGTAAGACCCAGACCAGGGTCAGTCTCTGCCCCAGTCACCAACAGCTAGTTCTACAATAAGCCTCTTACATGCAAACACCTTGGGTTTCGTCCTGCACGGTCACTGGGAGGCCCCCCATACAATAAGGAAAGCAGAGCGAATGGAACCCTGAGGCAGTCTTGGGCTCAGTCTCCAAAGGCTAGAGGGATTTTTCTCAATTCTTAGTATGACAAATGAGTGAGTGAGAAGGACGAGGCTTCTTGTGGTCCTTCCCCCACTGATCCCGCCCCTCCATTCTCCCACTTCACACAGAGCTCTCTGGCATAGGTATCCGCCCTTTGCTCCTATCGTTCCAAGGCCTCCCCATCAAGCTGGGTGCAACCTAAGGCCCTGGTCTCTACATGAAGCCTGGCCTGGGAGTAGGTATGCTCCCTTTTCTGAGCTCTCATGTATGTGCCATCAGGCTCACCCAGCCCGGCAACAGGCGTGATCTCATGACTCCTGGGGCCCAAGAGCCCCCTGAAGATAGTCACAACGACTCACACCTTGTTTAAAGCCCCCCAACACTCAGTCCTACTGACCAGGAACAAAGCAGGAAGGCAATAATTAGTTTAATTGGCTGGGCCCTAACATTTCACTGGTCTAAGGAAACCTCCTCTCCTCAATTTCTATTCTCAGACTGGCAGCCACAGCCAGAAGAGGCACAATGACTTGCCTCTGGGTCACACAGTCAAGCAGGAGGGAGCAGTGGTCAGACCTGAACTGCAAGGCTGGCTTCTCCATTTCATTAAACTTTATAAACTAAGAGAAAACTCCAAGAGTCCCCTTGGGTTATCACAAAGACATGGGCAATCGAAGAAGGGCTCAGACTTCAGACCTGCTTAATGTCAACAGAAATACGCCCCGTCCTCCCCCCTGCCCCCACCCCGTATTCTGAAAAGACACAAATCAAAATACACCTGATCTCTTTGTTGATGGCATCCAGCTGCTCCTGAAGCATCATGGCTAACGTCTGGGCATCGGCCTGCCCGCTGGGCGACAGGAGATCCACGGAGCTGAAAATAGTATCTCTGTCATCCTCACCGTCAGACACATCGACGTCGCTCTCAAACGCTTGCGCTACGTTCGCTAAGACACTCGCCTGTTGGGCCCGTTCCCAATCCTGTTCATTCAGCGTCTGTACCTAGGAACGGAAAGACCAGATCCTAGTGAGCTGTGTGTGAAATGACCCAGGGAGATCCAGTCAGCTTTGCTGAAACGCATGTACCTATATGAAGTCAAATACTGCATGAGTAAATGAGCTTGTTTTAAAATGCAAACAAAGAAAGACTTTGGGGGTAACATGTCACACTTACATGCTGCAGCCATCCATCAGTCAGCAGTGTTTAAGGAACAGTAAAAATAAACCCAATGATTTAGTTGTCTTCTATATACCCTGAATGTAGCTCCTGAGCATCTTTCTACCATAACCTGGTGGAGCGACAACAGTGAAATGCAAAAATAAAGAGCTGGTTCTAAAGCTGCTGGGCTAAGAAGGAACGGAGAACCCAGGGGACTCGATTCTAGGCTAGCTGCAGCTCCCGACACATTAATACTTGGATGAGTAGGATGGAGAAATCAGTAACTTCCCTCTGCTTTCTTTCAAGCCTCAGAACTGGAGGGGGTGAGGTCTAAGGCCCCTAGGGACCTGGATGTGCAGGGACAGGAGCAGGGCCTCTGGATAACCCACTAATCAATCAAGGCAACAGAACTAAACACAAGAAGAAGAGCGCAACGCTGGGCCCTCTGCCCAAAGCTACTTCCTTTGGTCTGGGGGACAGAAAGGAAAGTCTGTCACGAGCTTACTGTGACTCCCTTAAAATTATGGAACATCTTTTAAATACCAGACGTTCTGGAAGTGTATAAAAAGTATACGCCTCTTCAAAGACATATAAAGAATAAGGCTGACTATGGGTATGTGACAAAGTTCATTTCTGACATAAATTATTTTAAAAGTGAAAGCAGTACATGACAGGGTCATAGGAGAACCTCAACTACTGCTTCCATATTTTCTCAAATCAAGAGTAGGGTACAATTCATAACAAATGATGAGCTTTTTCAGCGAGGCCTCCCAAACCGCCTATGCTCAGCTTCTTTCGACCTCAGACCAGCAGACGCTGCTTGGTTACCTTGGAAGGCTCGTCCCGGAGAGCCGCCAGACGGCCCTTCTGGGCCCGTCGCAATACTGATGTGGTGCTGTGAGGATCTGTGGGACTCTCTGCCACGGGATACCGGAAATCGGGTACGCTGCCCAGGTGTGGCCGGCTGCAACACAGAGAAGGATAGCCAACGCTCACAGAAAGCCAAGCTCCTGCCCATCTAAGTCTTTGCAAATGAAATTCTTGGGTAACGATTCCGCGGCCACCCACACACGCACCCATGATGCAGCGAGCCGCCACCACGCATCCTCATCTGGTCTATTTCAGCCCTCAAGGCTTCCATGTTGAGCACCAGCTGGTCCTGGGAAAGGGGACAAGGGAAACAGGTTCTTGAGCCAAAGGGACTTCTCTATAAATCCCATGAATCAAATCTAAATAAATTCTGCAGTCAGAACTATACCCACGATTCCACAGAGGTTTGGCACCCGTGCTCCTAGCCGTAAGTTCCCTTTGGGTCATGGGAATGACCGCGGAACGGCAGCTATCCCACCTCCACCTTCCTGTCTGTGGCCAACGCCTCCCTAACCTAGAGGGGTCTACGCCTCTGCCATCTTTTATCTACTGCATTTCACTCAAATGAAACTGAGACTCAATTATAAAACATGAAAACTTGTCACCTGGTGGTTATCAGGTAAAAGGGGTCAGGGTAATATATTCAAACTAGTCTTCCCAGAGAGAATCCCCTAAAACAAACACAGTGCTAACCTCCAAGGTTCTCTAGAGTAAACACGTATCTGAGACACCAAGTTACCCCAAGGGGCTTTATACACTCAAGGGGAAAAAAAAAAATCACACAAATCCAAAGGGTTTTGGAAGCTAAAGTAAAAATTCATAGTATGAAACATATTCAAAAGTCTGAGCCCAAATTTTCTATCAACTCTACTTTTAAAACAAATACCAATGATCAGTGCTTCCCAAATATGTACTCAGCTCAAACCCACTGGCATCAAAAACAGCTGCCAAATAATAAGTAGTAAAAACAAAACAAAAAAAAACAAACAAAAAACAAACAAATAAATAAAACCGAAGCCTTTCAATTCAGCCTCCTGCCCACCCAGAGGCTCCCTGATCAAAGAAACCCCACGGAAATCACTCAAGTCTTCATAAATACCTTGTCATGTTGTGTTTCTTCTACTTGCTTTTTGGCATTTTCAACCTCTCGAAGCAGAGAATTCTAGAAGAGAGAGATTCACACAGCTAAGAGTCCCTTCTGACGGACCTCCAGAGCTGAGTCTACACTGTCTGCAAACACATCAGCAGAAGCTGACTGGTGGGAGCCAGGAGGGGAGCAGTGAGGTCAGGTACGTTGGGGGCAACCATAGAGTGGCTTGGCTTACCCCTCATCAACAGACATTCCTGGTCTTGTTTTCCTCTTGATTAAACGGGGCTATCGTTTCGTTCTGTAGCTCATTAGGAGCTTAGTTAAGGGGACGCACTTTTATCTGGACTGGTGGCTAGCCTTCCAGAGACTGTAAATGTCTTCAAAGCTGGGACCAGGTCTTAACTTAAGTTTGTATCTGCCCCAAAGCCAAGACCATTGATCTTCACAGTAGGTAATTAGTAAATGTTTGCTCTACTTTTTAATCATCTGTTAATTCAATAGTCATTCTGTATTATTAAAATTAAATTTCAAATTGATAAAGTAATTTTGATACTATAAAAAGAAGTATTTCAAATCCAAACATGCCACCTTTAGCAACATCATAAGCTGGGATGCCCATTTCATGAAGTCCCTAAAAATGTCATTTAAAAGACAGTGGTCTGTAGCAGCAGAGAATTTACTTTAAGAGTCTGAATACTTAAAATACAGAATTAATGAACTATAATTGTCGCCACCCAACCTCCACGCAAAAGCACTGCTGTCCAGTTCTCAGAGTGGCCAACAAGCACTAACCACCTTCCTTAGAATAACACTGGACTACAAGCCACAGAGGGACCACTTCCTCAGACTCTTTTTTGTGAGTGACAAGAAACATCTAAGCTTTGTGGGGCAGACAGACTTATGCCATGGACCACAGTCAGTCAGAAGCAGAGCTCAGGGAACTCCTATTTGCTCCAAAAATAGTTTTTCAAAGAAACTTGGGAGATGGAAAGGTTCCTTAAAGTCACCTCCTTCAATACCTTCATTTGGTAAATGAAATCAAGGCTCACAGAATTGGGGGAGGAAGTGATGGAAAAAATGTGTGGCCAAACCACGACTTGAATTCCCATCTCTTTAAATTTAGTCCAGGGCTTTTCCTACAATTCTAGCATCTCGAAAACTGCCCATGTCAACGCAGGCAAAACCTGCAAATCCATGTCTTACAGAAGCCTAATAAGCCACATGACCAATGAGTGAGACAGAGGCCCCACTCAGTTTCCCCAGGCATAATCCTATACAATCTACTACTTGCCACATACATACAGAAAAACTGACCTTCCCTCTATACAGGATAGCAAGTGCTTCCCTATCCCTGACCAGGGATAAACATGTTCCTCACTCCCATGACATAGACAAGTTTAGGAAAAAGCCTAGTCCCAATTTACTGGGGCAAATCAAGGTAGCAAACAAAGCAAACCTCTGTTGTTGCTGATACACAGGGCGTCCACCTGAACAAAGTCTCACCTATAAAAGTCTTCCAAATCAGGCTCAAAGGAAATCAATAAATGGGGTGGAGACAGGTAGAATGCTTTGAAAACTATGAAGTTCCAAAAAACTATAGAGTCTGTGAGCATTGCAAGAGAGACTTCAGCAAAAAGAAGTTGGATTAGAAATAATTAACAAGCTTTCCGAAATAAGGGATGAGTGTATGGTAGAAATATATGGTAGAAAGTACTTAGGGACAGTAACAGTTAATAAGAGTTTATATGCGATTTTTCCCACCTGAAACCCAAGTTCTACTTTTCTACCAGAGCACTTCGCCCCCGACACAGAACAGCGACTCTCCCCATGTGGCCCCAGCACCTCCTGCGCACCGTACCTTATCCTCCAGAGCCGCCATCCGCTCCTTCAGGTGAAGCTGGAGCCTCTCGTTGGACTCGGAGAGGAGCCTGTCCACGGTGTCCGACAGGCGCTTACTGTGCTCTTCATTCATCTTCTCTCTCTGCCTCGCCTGGAACAGCAGCAAGAGAGGAGAAAATGAACACCGCCCCTTTCCCTTCTTCCTTACTTTCTCACAAATACAGAGTAATAACTTCTAACAACCAACGGAAGAAGTTCCCAAGGAGAAGATGAAAGATCCCTTGACCCAGGACTTTGGCCGAGTGAAACAAAAGAAAGCAAGGTCTCTAGGAAGGAAGAGGAGCAGCAGAGCTCCACAGAGTCATAAAGCAGAAATCTACTGAGATTCATGGGCAAAAAAGGAGACAACCAGAAACCTTTTCTGATGCAGAGAAAACCTCTGGCTCCAAAGCTGAAAAACAATGACATCTTCATTCAATTTAAGAGGCCAAGTGTCCAAAACGAATTCGGCTAACAAGAGCACTGTTTTACAGCTCACTGGGGGCTCTGATTAATCTCACTGTTTCTAATCTGCTCTCGGTCACAACGAACTCCCTCAATTGGAGCATCCTAGACACAGCCACTAGTGAGGGCCAGCCCAACAGACGAGGCAGCCCTGGCACATCCACTTGTGTAGAACAGCTTGGCCCAGGTCACCCAGATACCCCAAGGAATCTGTGATCACTAAGGTCCATCTCAGCCCGTCCTGTGCAGCTCTCGTCCATGTCGTCCCAAGAGTCACCCAAGGGCATCCACGCAGGACAGAGGGGCCTTCTCTGCTTCTTCCCAATGGCACGAGAGCATCCCTGGAGAACTCTGGCCATCCACTCATGTCCACGTACGACCAGCCCCCACCTCTGTCACAATTCCTTGATAACACTGCTGACCGGGATGCCTCTTGGGAGTCTCTAGGTTGCGTGGTCCAAACCGCTCAGAGCCACCTCTGCATTCCTCTCAAGGTGACTTTATTCTTCACCAGTGATGGAAAAACAACAAGACATTTGATTCTCCTCTTTAAGAAACAACAGCTACTAAAGGAACTTAATTTTTTTTGAAACCATAAAGCTCAGCAACTCTCACTGACACAGTGAGACTTGAAGGTTTTGTGAAGCATTTCCTTCACAGCCCCCAAGGGAAGGAGATTCAGATCCCAGATTTCAAGCAGGCAGGGTATTGAGAGGCCAACTCATTCAACTCCCATTTTCCAAATGGAGAAAAAGATTACAGAAATAGTAAGTTCTGGAAGCCGGGTAGACTGACTCTAAGTTCCACATGCCACTGCTCAGTATTAAAAATCAGAAGGAAACACGAGGCCATGTGCAGTGTCTATTCTTTGAAAAGGTAAAAGCAGCTAAACGAACCAGTTATGGAGGAGTAATGAAGTGGACTGCCATGATCAGAAGGAGGGACTCTGTCTAAATCATGGGGTTTTGAAATGGGGTCCATGGACCCCTGGGGGGTCCCTGAGACCCTTTCAGGGAGTCCTCAAAGTCAAAATTATTTTCATAATAACATTTGCCTTTTTAACTCTCCTTCTCTCTCTCATGAGTGTACAACTCCATGGAGTCTTCCAGATTCTACATCACCTGTGAATTAAAAATTTAGCAGCAAAAGTGAAGACTGAGTTAACATCGCTACTGCAGAATTATACTATTGTATTAGGAATGGGTGACTCTCCAAACATGGCTAGACTTGCTCTTTTGCTTGTATTCACCCAATATAAATATCGACTAATCTATGTGAATGAATGCTTAGCAACAAACAAGAAGTAATGAAATATTCCAAGTGCTTAAATCTCCTGGTTTATTCTGGAACAACTGAGTTGACATTTGCAGTAAAAGGGCAAAAAATAAGGCTGAGTAAAACAGCAAGCACAAACAAGACAGTGGCACCGAACCGTCCCGGTCACAGTGGTCCCTGTAGTGTCGACCACCACCACCACACCATCACAGCAATGAGAATGGCCATCTCAACTGAGGACGTCCCTGAGGAGGCAGTCCAAAGTGACCCTTCGGGATGCACTTTCTGAGTATTCTGGGACGGAACTGGAAAGCGCACAAACCACTTACTGCTGCATACCCAGCTCCAACCTTTATGCTGAAGAGAAGCTTGGATGCTCGAAAATGAACAAAGGAGCCTGTCATTTCAAGGAAAACAACTGACAAGTATTTGTTACCAATTATAAAATCAGAGCTTTCAAGCAAAAACCAGAATTTTGGAAAACTTGTAGTCGCAACCATGAGCTTGACAGCTTCTCCCAACTCAAAGCCAGTTAGTTCTGCTGAGATCCACCGCGACAGGATATTCACAAACGTGACTCTCAGATTTTATACAATGCAGCGCGTCAGAATTCACAGGTGGCCACAGCTGATCCTCACTGGGTCAGCCAGCAGAAATCACAGTCTTAGAGACACCTCCTAAACCACAGCATCTGGCATGGGTGCTCATCCGCACTGCATCTCAACACTTAACTAGGAAATCGCCAACGTGAAATATAATCAACTCTGTTTTTACAGGATTCAATTTCCTGTGAAATTTTTCCTCAAATTGAGACAAAATCAGCCTTCCTCACCAGACACGGAATCAAACAATCTAGGATAAAATCTCAGTTCTGCCATATAATAAATGCATGACTAGGGGTAAAAGTCATTGAATACATCTGAGCCTGTTTCCTCAACTGAAAAACAGAAATAATACTTGTACTACTGATGCCAAAGGGTTATGCTGATGATTCTCATGTTACTTGGCCAGTCCTAACCTCTGTCCTGATCTCCTCTCACATTTCCAACATCTTCCCGAACATCTCAAATGGAAAATCCCAGCGTTATCACAAAATCACTATGTCTAAAACTGAATTCATTACCTGTCACCCCAAGCTCCCTTGCTCCTAAACCTTCTACTGCTGTTAAGGACACCACCATCCTCCCACTATCCTGAGGCCATCTTCAACTCCTCACTGGGCCTCACTCCCCATGCATGTCTGATTTTCTGCGAATGCCTGTCAATTTGACGTCCATACCATCTCGTGCACGTTCAGCCTTCCCTCCTCAGACACTGTCATCACCTTGAGGCAGGCCTTTATCATCTTACACTTAGAATGCTGAAAGAGTCTGCTGGTCGGTCTGCCCACCACAAGTCTCTCCCCATTTCGATCCAGCCTACACTCAGCAGGCAAATGATTTTTTTAAAGTGCACGTCTCTGCGGTGGATAGAGCAACTGGCCCTGGGGTTAGGAGGACCTGAGTTCAAATCCAGTCTCAGACACTAACTAGTTGTGTGACCCTGGGCAAGTCACTTAATCCTGACTGCGCCCCGCCCCCCACCCAAAAAAAAGAAATAAAAAATAAAGTGCAGGCCTGACCGTGTTACATACCTACTCAATATTAACTCCAGTTGCTCCCTAACACCCAAGATCAAATATAAAATCCTCTGTTTTGCCTCCATCTTCAAGTTTTTTTTATCCAAATTTCAAAGCTATGTATAAGGGATGTATGATTAACTAAACAAGGGACAGAAGCAATTACAAAAGATAAAATAGAAAGCTTTGATCACAAGAAACTGAAAAGCTGCTGCACATACAACTTCTAAAGCATCTGGAACAAGAAGAGAAGTATTCAATGAGGAAAAACATCTTTGTATCAAATTTTCCTGATAAGGGTTTCCTATTCAAGATTATAAAGGTGTGTATACATATACAAATACATACATACATACATACATACACACACGTGTACACACACACACACACACACACACCTACCTGACAGGCTAAATGAAAACAAAAGCCATTTCTCAATACATAAGTGGTCAAAAGATATAAACACTTCTCAAAAAAACTGCACACTATTTATAATCACACGAAAGAACGTTCCAAATCACTAAGAATAACAGAAAGTACACCAAAATAACCCTGAACTTTTACTTCTTACCCTACAAATTGGCAAAATGACAAGAGATGCAAATAGCCAGTGATGGGTGGGCCAGTTACAGGAAGACAGGCACAGCAGGGCACTGCTGGTGGAGCTGGGCCTCCAGACAACTTCTGCAAAGAAAGTCACTGCAAAAAAAGTGACTAAAGGTCACTATGACCTTTAACCCAGAGATTCCACGACTAGGTTTTTACCCAAAGGATGCCATCAATAAGAAAAAAAATACTTCTATACATCAAACAAAAAGCACAGTGCTTTTGGTGATAGCAAACACTTGGGAACAGAGACGTCATCAACCGGGGAATGACTAAACAAACTGTGGTGATCGAATGGAATGGAACATTACTGTGCTCTAAGAAATGAGGAATGTAAGGAATGCGAGGAAAATGGAACAATTTATATGTACAGATGTAGACTGAAGTGAGCAGAGCCACAAAAACACCACATATAATGGCTATAACAAAATAAATGGAAAGAAACAACTCTCCCCCCCCCAAAAGTGAATGTTGCAACAAATTCAGAGGTAGAAAAAAGTGAACGTTGCCAAATTAGAGCAAACAAGTATGGCTCCAAAGAAAATCTATGAAAAGACATTCCCCCCAACCCCCCTCCTCGCTAGTGGCGGGAGGTCCACAAGTGGGGTACACTGCATGTGTTTTCAGATTTTTTTTTATATAATGATCAGTTCTGCTCATTTTTTTCCTCTCCTCTTTTTTTATTTATTTTTTTTTTAAAGGCAATTGGGGTTAAGTGACTTGCCCAGGGTCACACAGCTAGTAAGGGTCAAGTGTTTGTTCTGAGGCTGGATTTGAATTCAGGTCCTCCTGACTTCAGGGGCGGTGCTCTATCCACTGTGCCACCTAGCTGCCCCCTCTTTTTTATTTCTTTAAAAAATATTACTGTTATAGGAGATGGTTCTCTGGGAGAGGGTAGGGGAAAAATATTGAGGAAAATTTTAGTGATATAAAAAAATCAATAAAACTTATTTTTAAAAATGAGTGGCTTAATAACAAAAAAGCAGTGACTCTCAGGATCTCTGAGTGATTTTGTGGGTACCTTAGAAGAATACAAGGCAGCAGACTCAAAGAGGTAGGAGAAAGAAGAAAACCCAGCACAGGACAATGTAACGGTCACCTAATAATCTAGGACCTCTGCCCCAGACTGGCGGCATACACACCCTCTGTAATTCTTGATTCTTTTCTTCCAACTGGGCCTCCATCTGCCGTAATCTCTCTTCAATGTTGCCGTGTCTCTCTTCAGCCTGCCGGGGGCAAACACGTTAGTTTGGCCTAGTAATTAAAAAGCATTTACAACATGCCGTGGGAACTACTGCCATAGCAAAAAGCAGGACGTGCTGGGCGTGAGTGACAGTCTTCACTCCTACGGTGGGTACCACGTCTACCTCATTCTATCACAAACCTGCGAGTTTTCACGTGATAACAGTGAGCACGCCATCCTCTGCCTTTGGTGAACTGTGCAATGTCTGGTGCTGGCAGTTAGGTTTGTGCTAGAAATCCTCAAATTCGCCTCCCCCCAGGAAAGCGTCCCCAGCCCTTAAGCGGCCTTCAGGTAGTCAGCACAGAAAGCAGAAAGCAGAAAGCAGCAAGCAGAAACAGGGACCGGAGTGCAAAGGATTCTACCTTCCTAAGCTTGGAAGTAAGTTCGAACAGTTTAGCCTCCTTAGCAGCAGAGTTTCCAGAAGACAAAGGGTCAGACTACAAATTCAACAAGAGATGATAAAGATAACAGGGAGTGGAAGAGAAGGGAGACTTCAAAAAGCAGATCCACAGAGGGAAAGGAGAAACGCGGTTACGGCTCCAGATGTAAAACCGCTAGGAGGTCTGTTTCACACACATCAATGTTTAAAATAAGGATTCCCACTGCTCGCTGCCTTCTAAGAACAAGAAATGAAGAAACTGCTCCTTGATACTGCATGTTCTAGCTATCAGATATGACTTTTAAAAGAAAGCTTCTTCCTCATAACCCGAAAACCCTTTCTTGGGGAGGAAGGCAAGCCCCCCCGGGCTTTGCAGGTGTTGTTTGGGCTGCTCTACAAGGCAGCAATCCTTAGTTCAAACAAGCTGGGGAGACACGAACTACATAAAACCACCAACTGGGGAAAAGCTTTTAGGAATCACACAAAGGAGGCAGAGATGTGACATTTCCCCACTTAGCATTCCCCAACAAAGGATGAGGAAGAGCACAGAATCAGAAACCATCCAGGGACAATCGCCTACGTTGACTGAGAAGTCGTAACCAAGAGCACCGAGTGCCGGCCCCAGGCCACGGGGTCACTGGCCCTACCTTGGAGAGGGCCGCCACCCTCTGGGCCAGCTCAGCCTCCACCTCAGGCAGGGTCTCTGCTTTCCTCAAAGTCTGCTGCAGCTTCTGCTCGGCCAATTCCAAGCGCTCTTGTAACTGGCGGTTTTTGTCTTCACTCTGGAACAAAATCCAGCTGTTACAGCACAGGACAGCTACTTCCTAGGTGAAGTGTGAACACTGGGTGGGCTGCAGCTCCCCACAAGAACACAGCCCCAGGCTGCTTCCTCCCCACTGAATTCTGGCCTAGAAAGCGTTCCTTCTAGTGCATCCTATTTCTCTTCGACGCCCTAAATGTAAACTCTTTAAAAAAAAAACAAATGTTCCTAAAAGTCAGGAAAAAAGCAGTTTTTTGATGTGTTTCTGAGGCTGGTTCCTACATGACCTGCAAAGACAAGCCCAAGAGCAGGTGTTGAGCTCTAAGCCTCCTGCAAAGTAAGCAGTACAGCCCAATTGGAAGCCTGCACAGAAAACACAACCGCACCCCATCTCTCCCTCCCTCCTCCTCCCCGATGTTGGGTTGCTGCTCTTGTAAAGTTATGCCCCTCACTTCCTCACTCCCCCGCTCACTCCCCCTGCCCCACCGGCCCCCAACTCAGCCCTGAACTCTCAGCTTCTACCTTGCATACGCCATCAACCTCTTCACCTTCAGCTCTTCAAGTTCTAAGACTCAAAAGATCACCTCAACGCCACCTCTTCCGGGAAGTTTTGCCACATGACCCTGTCTGTTCACGCGCTCTCCTTCATTCAATGAACTTACATGGACTTACCTGGGTCGGTGGGTAGGCAGGACAGGAAAGCTGGCTTTTCTCTCTGTCCCCTTGGGCCACACACATAGAGAAGGCCTCAAGAACTATCACCACTAAACCGAGCTGAATGGTAAGCCTGCTCAAATGTCAGCAGGGAGAACTTGGGGGAGTCATGCATTTTGGCGGGATCCTGGGCAATACTGAATCTTCATGCTCCTTACACTGGGCCAAACGGCTGCTCTTCAGTTTTTATCGTCAACCCTTAACTAATCATGGACAACCTCTCCTATGGAGGAAGGGCAACACGTTTTCAAACGTTTCACTCATTAGCCCTTTCACCCAAGGCACTGACAAGAACCAAAGCAACTGAATTACGTTGGCTCTCCCTGGTTTCTCTGCTCCTCAGTGAGGAAGCTGGAATAAGCGGCCAGAGTGCAAGTGCTGACCCCAGGGGCCTGGAGCCGCCACCGGCTCCACCGACCCTGCCTGAACAATCCAGTTTTGTGAAGACACAGAGTTATTCCTCAAATAAGCGCAGGCTCCCAGGCAGCCATAAACTTCAGACTTCTACAGACTTCTACAGACTTCTAAAGCCTGAGGACAAGAGCACCTTCTGTTCAAACTCATGACAGTCAAAAAATGCTGGTCTTGAATCTCTATTAGTGAAAAGATCCAGAGAAAAGGTCCAGCACCCTTCATAACAAGCACTACCTGTCGATGTAGAGAGTCCTTATTAGCGATTTCATTTTCAAGTTTATCATTGAGGTCATGCACCGAGGTAGCTTCCCGCTGGGCGGCGAGGTAGCGTTTTTCAAGAGTTGTGATTCTCTCTTCCATATCCTCCTTCTGGGCCATGGCCTACATGAGAACAGGTATGTCGGGGGAGGGAGGGAGAACAAAGCAGATGCTCAGACACACAGAGATTACAGAGGGGCGTCATATGAAAGTACGGTGTGAAATACGGTCACTACAAAATTATACGGAGAAACCTTTTCAAAATACATTCTTAATGTGAAAAATTGTTTTGCTGAATATAACTGTACATATCATTAGCAGTGCTACTGAAGCACATGAGGACTAGAGGTGATGTATACATAGTTTAATTCACTTCAGTGACTTTTCAATAAAAGAATTTTAAAGCAAATTAAATATAGAATTATAAATATAAGATTCTAAGAATAAGACCCCCTAAAAAGTGGAAAATCTCGAAGCAATGAGTGGTAGCCACAGAGAGGCAGATTTAAGCTTTCAGTGAGGAAGAACTCTCTTCCAAACTGGAGCAACCCACTGGGAGAGGGGGCTGCTTCTGGCTGACTTGAGGTCAGAAAGCAAAGGAGCAGGTGCCATTTAGGGTCAGGGTCAGGGTCCCTCTGAACTCTGATTCCACAATTCTACTTTAGTCATTTATTGAGATCCAATGGGCACTCACAAATCCCTCCCTCTGCCAGGCCCTGTACCCAGTGCAAGGGATACAGAGACAAACATAAGGTGGTGTCTGTCCTGCACAAAGGTAAGGATCTTATCTCAGAGAAAAGGGTAACACTCGAACCCAAGGCTACATTACTTCTCATTTTCATCAGGAAAATTAGGGTCTGGTCCAAGAAAGTAACTGCAGAGTGCCAGGGCATTTCAGATTGGAAGCTGTAATGTCACACTCATAGTGCTAGGAGGCACTAGGCTACGACCAGGCCAACGTCATCCCACAGGCTCGGTGAACAAAGAGGGCTACAAAGCCTCCACAGGAGGTTGTTCAGACCTGGGTGAGACATAACGCGTCTGGTCAGAAGTGCCAATCTGACTGCCTCCCCCAGATTACCTAATAAAGAAACGTGACTTGATCTGTTTGCCTTTCTTTCTTTTCACCACTTACACAGCTTGGTGCTCCTAACTACCACACTTAACAAAATCCCAGGAAGCTTACAGAGGGTGAGCCTGGGAAAGAAGCACATCTGTCACACCCATTTTACAGATAAGGAAATTGAGGACAGTGGGAAGTGAAGTGATCTGCCAATCTTTTATAGGCAGCAGTGTCTCTCCATCCCATGTCTTTCCGCTATTGCTGCCCTCAGTTCTTGGTATGGAGGTTTCTTTTAATTGACCTGTCTTGTCCGCCACTGGGGGTGAGTGGAGAGATGGCAGGAGAACCAGCCTGCGGTTGCTACGACTGTGCTGTCAGAGCAGCAATGGTGGCCAGAGAAGCGTGTCTACGCTCCTCTCATGGCTGCTTCCCAAGCATGAGGATGGACACATTCTGCACACCCACTGGTAGGTTAACCACAGATATTCTACACCCTGTACTCCTTGACCTGACTCCATTCTCCAGCTGATCGTTAACAGGGCTCCTTTCTTACACACCGAGGCCAGAACATCAGACTCCTAGGAGACCATCAACAACGAAAACTCCTTTAACTCAGTCAATAGGTAGTGTTGACGATGCTGTACAGAACAGCTACCACAATGCAAGTCAAGGATTTACTCAAGAGTAAGTTGTCAGAAAGAAGTCTGAATGCGTAACGACGGACAAACTGAACAGCACGAAGTCTAGGAAGATTGCTGTTTATCAACATTAAAAAACTAATGACCTTTAGTATTAACCATCCTTATCTTATTACCATATGCTGTCTGTTGTATGACAGGGAGTAGCAATGGCCTTTGGGCCTCATCTAAGCCATTCCCCACACCGCCCCTAAGCCTGATGGGTAATCGCAGCATCTCCATGTAGCAGAGCATCTCAGACTTGGAGGCGATTCCTCTTTAAAATCTATCTGACAAGCAGTCTCCCAGCCTCTGCTCCAAGAACTTCTGAGAAGTCAGTTCAATTCTTATAGAGAAGGCAAATCCCGAAACAAATGTCAGGAATCAACTCTAGCACAACGTATCCCTTTATCTGTTTTCTATACAATTCATATAACCCAATGATTTGAAAAGAGGTGTGGGGGGGGGTGTATGTGCGTATGCGATACATAAGACAGAGAAAGTATTTAGAAACGATAAAGTTCACTAAAAGATATACAGCTGTTACAGACTGACACAACGGTGGAAGGTACAGTAAAAATCCCAAGCTCACCAGCAGGCTCTGCTGCTTAAGGCCAAGAAGCAGCGGACAAGGCGAAGGTGCTCCCTCCCCTACCCCACCCCTGACAGGGAAGGCTCCATCATAGTCATTACTCTGCCATGGGAAGGGGGAGGAGCCGCTGGGAACTCTGAGACTGCTCGGAGACTTCCTGCGTGAGGATCACACTCCAGCAGGCCCAGTCGTCGTCCCCCTCCTCGGTCCCCCTCCTCCTCCTCCTCCACAACAAAGCTCCCGACTCACCTCTCGGGCATCTCGCTGCAGCTTGGTGTTCACCTCTTCAGACTTGATGAGATCTTTGCGGGCTGTGTCCAGGTCCTCCTCCAGCTCGGTCACCCGGCCGGAGAGAGCCGCCAGTCGCTCCTTCATCTGGCTTTGTTCTTGTGACTGTTTGTCTATAATTTCTTGGAGCTCCAACACTTTCGTTAGGTCTTCTTCATGACTCAAAGACCCATCAGAAGATCTCTGTCAAAACAAAAATGAAGTTTTGTGGCCACCTGCCCGGAGAAAGAGCCAATGGAACATTTAAATAGATTAAAAGGTCTTCCTTTGGGCACCCGGGGGCTCATATGACCCAGTCCCTGCTTCTGCTCTAAGCAGGTATTTTAGGAAAACCTTTCCAAAGACGCCTTCCTGGGAATTATGGACACATTAACTTCACAGACTCCAAGACTTGCCTTTCCGTTGGTGCTTGGTGTGTTTTCCTGTTCATGATTTACATCCAGCATCCCGTCTGCTAGTGGTTTTTTCTGATTGTTCTGCTCCTTCAGAAGCATCAACTAAAAATCAAGCAAATCAATGCCAATTATAATTCACCATCTCTATGTAACAATAGAGATATATTAATAAATTGTAATAATTAGAAATGTATAAATATAATTCATCATCTCTATAACAACTGAAATGTATTGATAAATTATGATAATTATAAACATATAAATATGCTTCACCATCTCTATATAACAATAGAAATATATTAATAAATTGTAATAATTAGAAATGTATAAATATAATTCATCATCTCTATAACAACTGAAATGTATTGATAAATTATGATAATTATAAACATATAAATATGCTTCACCATCTCTACATAACAATAGAAATATATTAATAAATTGTAATTATTAGAAATGTATAAATATAACTCATCATCTCTATAACAACTGAAATGTATTGATAAATTATGATAATTATAAACATATAAATATGCTTCACCATCTCTATATAACAATATAAAAATAACAAAGCCTCCTTTAGAACCATAAGAAACTGCTGCTACTCTTTGGGTATCACAAATGGGCCCAAGTAAGAGCGGCCTCAGGGAAGTTTGTAAACCGTCAGCAGCCCCACTTGTGCAAAGAAAAGCATACGCTTGTTACTCTTCAGATGGGCTTCATCTTTCCCTGAGAAAACAAGAGCAGTGAGAGGGAGGGCTCCTAAAAACAGGCGGCGGGAGGTGGGATACGCTGGGATGAGGGTGAGAGGATGAGCTCACGAGCGTTGTGGAAAGCACCCTCCTGGGGGGACATTCACTCACCTCTTTGTGGGTGGCACCCAGCTCTTCCTCCAGTAAACTACACCTTTCCAGTGCTACTCGTAACCGTTCTCTCACCTTTAAAAGAAAGTGATAAACAAGTAAAATAATTGTCTAGGCTTCTATCTACAAGACTGGGGCTCACCTGGGCTAACCCGAACCTGTGAAGAAATTTCCAGGGATCTATGAATTCAAAACCGGAAAAAAAATTACATCTGTGTTTCAACCTAATTCGTTCCCTTTGTAATCCTTTTTTATTTTATGTGTTTAGAAAAAAAAAAACCATTCAGAGAAGGGGTCTGTTAGCTTTGTGCGACTGCCCAAGGAGTCTATAAACACAAAAAAGGTGAAAAACACCTTCAGGACTAGGTGACTGTGCTAATACTGACGGGCTGAAATAGTCGTGAAAGACAGTTAAATGCTTTTCATTTTATTTCATCTTCAGCAAAGCTTCGCTTTATATGAAGGGCTCTAAATTCCAAAAAACCACTCATGCCTACCCATTATTGCACAGAAAATCATTTCGAGTACATGGGTTCTGATTATTATAAGTCTAGAGATCATTTGAACACGCAGAATCCTGTCTAGGGCCAAGAAACGCCTATTTTCCAAGCTGGAAAATCCAATAAGCCAGAAGAGTCCGCTGGAATGAATTCACACAAGACACTGGGAAAGACCGTGCCTCCAGCCTGAACGGGTGTCGGGCAGTGGTTCTGGGCAACTGTGGCAGCAGCTGGGGGGAGAGGGGGAGGAGAAGAGTGCTCTGAGGGAACCTTTTCATCCAGGGCTTTGTGGTGCTCAAACAGCGACTTTAGCGCCTTGAGTACTTCCACCTCACTGGACACTCCTGCAGGAGACTGCGCTTGTCTCTTCACAACCGTCATCCTCAGAGATCGCTCGTGCCTAGAGACGAGGCACTCCAAATGCTCCAGTAACAGCTGCAAGAGACCAAAACCTAATCAGAAACAAACGCATCTGAACATTCTTCTTTAAGGCAGAATCTTAACACACTACCAGGCATATAGTAGGTGCTTAATAAATGTTTACTGGCAATTGGAAGACAGACTTGGTCATTTGGAGGTTGGAAGGAATGGTTTAGGTCCCAGGAATCTGCCCTATTAAAACAAATTTACACTATTTTAATCTAGTCTTTTAAGGCAAAAATACCAAAATGTAATACATAATCCAACTATAATCAATACACTTGGCCCTGGAGATAGAAAGCAAGGCAAAAACACAGCCCTGTCCCCAAGGAGTGTATATTCTATCGAGAGAGAAACATGCAAACAACCACGTACCTACAAGATAGAATATAAACGGGGGTGGGGTGGACCCTCCCACAGACTTTGCCTGAACTGATCATTCACTCAGTCAATTACAAAGTTATCGCATGAAAAACCCCAAAATTTTAAAAGCAAAGGGCATGAAGCCTTGCTCAGCGCCCATTACTAGGAGGGAGATGTTTCTTGTCAACCCTAAGCTCTCCTATGGAGGCCAACCACCAGTCCATCCATCCCTCCCTCCGCCCGTCCAATGCTCTCCATGAGCCCGAGCAGCTGGGACTTACTAACCCGGGTATTGTTTCTCTCCGCTTTCAGCTCAGCAATTTCTTCTTCTCTTTCAAGAAGCTGTTCCCTGCAGACATTGAGTTCCTTTGTCAGGGCGGCAAACTCCTGGAAAAGCGCAAATGGGAGGATGCCATGTAAGAAAAACAAACCAACCAGAACTTGCTCAATTTCTCACCTTCTCCTTTCTGCACATGAGCCCGTTCTAAGAGCCCTGGGGTCTGAGGCATCTGCTCCAGCCAATTCCAGGCCGTCACAGGGGAATCCAAGCCCATGCCCATGCCCACCTGTTCTCAGCCTAGATATACTTCAGTATGCTTTTCAGGAATGCAAAAGAGAGGGAACTGCTTTACTTACAAAACTCAAAGGGTCTGTTTCAATTTTCAAACTGAAATAGATAAGACAGTTGTAAAGCAATATCCATAAATTTGACCTGAATTCACTTGGGACCCCTGACAGTAGGAAAACCGGAGTGAGAGACGTCTAGAAGCAACCCAAAGAACTCCTCTGGGCAGATGTAGCTCTCCAGCTTCTCGTGCATGGTACCAAGAGATCAAGGGAGCCTGCCTAGGCTGCCTTGTCCAAAGAAAAGCTGGAAGGCCTCACGGGTCCGGGTCACACAAAAACCTGGGCTCAGCGCATGGTGAAGGTGAACAGATGCTGCTCTTAACACACCACTCAGTCTGTCAGCAAAAGCCCAGGAACCCAAGCACCACCAACCACAACCACAAGGAGCCCAGCCCTGAGGGCTCTTATGTGGACAATACAAGAAACACTCAAAAGGCCAGCCAGTGGCAGCCACAAAGCAAAAAAGAATACTACTAGAATTTTCCCTATAGCATTTAAGTGTTTTAAAGGAATTAAAACATATCGATGTTAACATCTCTAAGGTTGCTAGGTTTCTTTTTAAAGCAAAAAAAAGTTTTAATTAAAAGGAGTGTTTTCTTAAAAAAAAAAATATCTGGCATTAAAAAAAAGAAAAAAGGCGAAAGGGGGGGGGGGGGGGGGTAAGACCCCTATCACAATGTGTCTTATGAAACATGAAAACAAAAGAAATAGGCATTGAATAATACTAGTCATAACAGTAATCGTTTTTATTTAGCACTTTCAAGTTTTGTAAAGCACTTTATATACATCCTGACACCCCGGTAGGGAGCTTGCTGTAATTCTCTCCATTTTACAAAACAGAAAGCAGAGGGGGAAGGAGGTCACACACCTCTTAAGAACGGGACTGGGAACCCAAATGCCACTGAGAGTGAAGGGCAAGACCGACAGGAACAGGGCCTGACAAGGGGCAGTAATGTGTCAAAAGCCTAGAGAGGTGGGCCCGGCCACGGGGCCCTGGTTTTCTTTGGCCAAGAGTCACTTAATCTCAGTTCTCCCTCCAGGCAATTCTATGAATGGGGGGGGGGGGGAGGTCCCCGCTGCTGGAAGAACCTCCAAGGGTTTAACTAGAGCCAGCTGCTTATGGGAAGATGAGGAAGCTGTAGCCAAGAGCATAGAAGTGACTGGTGCAGGACCAGGCGCAGAGCCTGTCTTCCCAGCCCAGCCTTCTGGCCATTCCTATGCAGAGGGCTCCCAACACTGACCAAATCCACTCCTCTGAGCGACACGGGCTCTGCCAGACAAGCTAACTCATCCTACACTTGAACTGTTTCTACTCTATCACACCATCAATTAATTTCTGTTGCTGCCGTTCAGACTTTCTGTCACGTCTCGCTCTTCAGGGCCCCGCGGACCAGAATGCCATGATGTTGGCAGAGATACTGGAGTGCTTCGCCACTTCCATCTCGAGTGGAGGAAGGCAAACAGAGACTCAGTGACTGGCCCAGGGTCACCTGGCTAGTAAGTGTCTGAGGCTGCATGCTCTACACGGTGAGTCACCTCGCTGCCTCCAATCAATTAACTGAGCATTTATTAACTACCTACATCTGCCAGATATTTGATACTCAATGTTTTTTTTTCCAACACGCACACGCGCACGCACACACACACACACCCCTGTTTTCACATGTGGTTTAATCATCCAACTCTCACTTTAAAATTAGCCCTCTGCATATTTTCAGAGTTTTGAAAGCGCGACATTTTAATTTCCTATTTAAAAGTATTTTTTTAAAAAATTAGCAGCTGAGAAACCATTTTGAAACTACACTCTTTAATTAATTTGTGACACGTATCCCCTGACCCTGCAGATCTGCATTGGGAGAAGCCTTTCCACATCCGAGGTAAAGAGAGCATAGCGGACCGAGTTCCTCTTCACAAAAGTCCTCTAAAGAAGTTTAGAAAATGCACTAGACCAAATCCTGATGGGGAAATCCAGGAAAAAGTCAGCCAGTCATTTGGTAGCCACACAGGAAGATGTGCAGACACTGGGACAGAGCCACCCGGCACCCAAGCAGAGAAACTGCATGAGGACAAGAGGTCCCAGGCCCATTCTAGGACCCTGCTGCTTGCAGGGATGGGTGCAAACTTCTCAAACTTTCTCAAAGTCACAGCTGCAGGGTGGACTCAGGAGGAGCCCAGTGCAGGAGCCTGAGTCTGGAGAAAGGAGGAAGTTTGGAAGGCAGCAGGAGCAGCAGTATGACTCAGACCCCAGCAACAGAGCAGGCTCTCATTTCCAACACCTAGCCCAGCCTGCAAGAACATAAGCAGGGCTGGAATCCCAAACCAAAGAGGAGCCTCCGGTTCTGCCTGAGTCCACCAGCAGTCTACTCCTGCTCAGACCCAAATCCAGGCCAGAAACTTGCTCAGATCAGGAGAGCAGCAATCAAACTCTGACCTCCATGGGACCACTCTGAGAAAAATGAAAGTCTGTAGGTCCCAGGGCTACTGCAGATCCCGGAATAACACAACACTCAACACTCCAAGAAAGCAGGAACAGGAGCAAGCTTTCCTTGAGAAGTGCTGCAGAGCCTACCCTTCATATCAAGTCCAAAGTAGGCTGGAAAAAATGAGCAAACAAAAAAAGAATTCTACTCTTAAGAGCTGCTACAATTATAAGCTCAACACACAATCCAGAAGAGAGTGACTCCAAAACTTGGATAAAAAGCCCTGGATAAAAATACAGCCTGGGCAAAAATTCAACTAGAATTCCTGGAAGAGATGGAGAGCTAGAAAGGAAGTTTAAAACTGTGTTTATAAATGATATGAGAGCACTTGAAGGGAAAAAAAAGGAAAGGAAATGAGAGCTATGGAAAAAAAGAATTGAGAGAGGAATTAACAGCTCCATGAGAGGCACAAAACCATGCCCAAGCAACAAAATATTAAAATAAAGTCAAAACACTGAAAAAAAGAAAAATAGAAGAAAACCTAAGAAATCGATAATGAAAATAACTGGCCTAGAAAACAGGTTGTGGAGAAAAAAAATTTAAGAATCATCAGACTAGCTGAATGTCATGACCAAAATAAGAGCCTAGACATCGTTATTTCAAGAAATTCTTAAAACTATTCAGATCTCTTAGGACTAGAGGGTAAAGTAGAAATAGAAATAATTCACCAGTTACCTCCTGAAGAAACCCCAAAGTGAAAATTCCCAGGAACATCATTGCCAAAACTAAGAGATTCCAGGTCAAAGGGGGAAAAAAATTACTACAAGCCAGAAACAAAGAATTCACGTACTTTGAAGGCACAAGTCAGGATCACACAAGATTTGTGAGCCATACTATAACGGAGAGGAGAGCTTCGAATACAAGCTTCCCGAAGACAAAGAATAAACTACCCAGCAAAACTGAATATAATGCTATGGGGGACAACTATTAATGAAAGAGTAGTTCCAAGTATTTCTGTTTAAAAGACCAGCACTGCACAGAAAGGTAAACATTAATGAACAATGATAAAGAATAAATATACACTGCTTATATTCAAATATGGAGGGAGATGATGCACGCATCCCCTCTGAGCCCAAAGATCATCGGAGGTTATAGAGGGAGTACAATGGGACAAGGCCTATGGCTGGTTCTGTTGTATTTTGATGATCTCAAAAATGGAAAGAAAGGGGAAGAGAAATACACATAGGGAAGTGTGGGTGGGAAGCTTAAGAAATCCATTCAAGGAGGAGGGAGATGGGGAGAGTGGCTTGACACTTAAAACTCACTCTCAGCTGAAATGGCCAAAAGAAGAATACACATACACACAAATGCACACAACTGGGTGGAGAACACAGTAGGGACACTGGAGGACCAAAGGAGAAGAGAGGAGGGAGAGTAAATTAAGGAAGGGATTAATAGTACTAAGCAAAACAAAATCTTAGGATACATAAAAATGCATCTTTTTGAGGTGGCAAAGAATGGAAATCTGAGGAGGAGCCTGACCAAAAAGGGAAATGGAGACATCCAGAAATGGGGGGGGGGGGGGGGCCGAGGGCACACAACAGCATTCAGGGTATTCAGAAGTACCAGGACTAAATGGTTCTAGTAGTTCCTAAAAATGTCTAATTTCCCATTCTTCCTGACAAGGATTTAGAGCTGGCTCTTCTCTTACATTTCTCAGACACAATTTGTTTTCCCCCATTAGACTGGGAATTCCTTGAAGGCAGGCACTGTCTTTTGCCTCTTTTTGTATCCCTCATGCTTAGCACAGCATCTGTCACGTTAGATACTTAATACATGTTTACTGAATGAATACATTAATTATAAGCTATTAAAGCTTTGATTAAAATAAGCTAAATAAAGAAAAAAGCCCTCCTGAGGTAGAATTAACTGACCAGTAAAAAGGAAAAGATAGAGGCTAGATGAAGTGAAACTGTACAGAAAACGAAGAACAGAAAAAGGATTACTACAGGTCAGACACTTCCCTGTGCAAGCCCAGGACAGCTTGAGTGCTGGGGGAACGGGGCTGACATACGCAGCCAGATGTTTGTGGTATAGGACACTTACAAACCCAATGTTCAGAACACAGCTATGACTACTATTCTTGTGTTTTTTTGTTTGTTTGTTTGTTTTGGTTTTTGGGTTTTTTTGTTGGGTTTTTTTTGTTGTTGTTGTTGTTGAGGGCAATTGGGATTAAGGGACTTGCCCAGAGTCACAAACCTAGTGAGTGTTATGTGTCTGAGGCCACATTTGAACTCAAGTCCTCTTGACTCCAGGGCCGACACTCTAACCATTGCACCA